CCCTCAGCCACCTGGCTCCGCCTCCTCCTCCTCCTCCTCCGCCTCCTCCTCCTCCTCCTCCTCCTCCTCCTCCTCCTTTGGTGTTGGCGCGAGTTGCCACCCGATCGCGGAGCGCGCTGCGACAGCGGCCGCCTGCGCGCTCGGATCGGGCCACCCTGCGCCCCCTTTTGGTCCGCGCACGCCGCTCCTGCCACTCCTCCTCCTCCTCCTCCTCCTCCTCCTCCTCCTCCTCCTCCTCCTCCTCCTCCTCCTCCTCCTCCTCCTGCTCCTCCTCCTCCTGCTCCTCCTCCTGCTCCTCCTCCTCCTCCTCCTCCTCCTCCTCCTCCTCCTCCTGCGCGCAGGCGACCCGTGGGGGGGCCGCCTTCGGGCCTCGGGGCCGTCCAAGAACGGGTTCCCGGGGCGAAGAGCGACCCCCCTGGGGGAGCGGTCGGGTCGGGACCTCCGCGGGTCGAAACCATCAGCGCCGGCGGCTGTCAGGGATGAGCGGTGCGCTTCCCGCCCGGGTGGGGGGGGGGGCGGCCGTGGTTGAGATCCGACGTGTGGGAACAAATGGTTAGGACAGTTTGCAACATCGTGAGAAAAATCATGCCCGGAGCCCCGGGCCCCACCGTTCTGCGCCGGTTTTCGAGCCGGATCGATCCGTGAGGGTCCCGGGGCCCGAAGTGGAGCGAAAGTGGCCGCTGTGGAAGCAATTTGCAGCGCTAGGATCTCGGGGTCTGCCACGGCGCGAGGAGGCGATGGCCCCGCTCGAGATGTGCGTCTCGGGGGCCCTCCCGGGGCCCACCCAGCAGATCTGTTGACTCTGGCTCGACTCCAGCTCGGCTCAAGTCAGTCGACGCGCGGCTGGAGCGAGGGGCTCTGGAGCGTCTCCAGGACGAGCACCTGCAGTCAGCACTGATCGTAAGGATCAGCGACTTTCTGAGGTCTCCCTTGTCGCAGGCCTAGAGGTTGACACCAACACCAATATCGGCGGTGTGCCTCCACCGAGGGAAGACGATCCCGATCTCGGTGATGGTGGTAATATTCTTGCTGCCAAGGTGACCGAAATGTTACCCCCAGCACCGAAATCTAGGATCATCTCCCCCCTGTGGAGGCAACCCCTTGTGTTGGTGTTGGTGCCGATTTCCAGGCCTCGAACCTTGCATGCTGTCCCTTCGCCCATCCTTTGCCACTTTCGTTGGCCGCGCCCCGCTCGAGAAGTGTCGGCCTGGCTCTCCAAGGCCCTTGCACCCTCGTCATGCATCCTTGCTGTCAGCTCTGATTGAAATCCCACGCATGCGACGTCCTGATTTTTCCAATATGGGGTCCGTGGAAGTCCCGACCCTTTCCGTGGTACCGGTTTTCCGTCCTGATTCGTTTTTTGACGGCCCCGAGGCCCTGCAAGGACCCCCCGAGGCCGAAAATGGCCAAGAACCTCCCGTCTTGATTTATTATCGACGCGATCATGTCTGGGTATCGCGCATCCTTGCTATCGGTTTTGACTGTGTTCCTTCCTCGTGCCTCCGAGGTGCCCGCATTCATGTCCAGCACCGCGCAGACGGGAGCGCCTGCCTGGAGATGATCGGGCAGCCGGAGCAGGCCCTGCCCTGCCGCGGGGCGCGTGCTGCTGCACGGCCAGCCGTCGGTCAAGGAGATGAAGAGGATGATGAAGAAGATGAGGAGGAGGAGGAGGACAAGGAAGAGTGGCAGGAGGATGATTAGGAGGAGGAGGAGGAGGAGGGGGATGAGGAAGAGTGGCAGGAGGAGGAGGAGGAGGATTAGGAGGAGGAGGAGGAGGATTAAGAGGAGGATCAGGAAAATTGGTAAGGTGCTGCTGCCGAGGATGAGGATTCGAAGCGGGTGAAGATGATGATGATGATGATGGTGATGGTGATGGTGGCGGTGGCGGTGATGGTGATGGTGACGGTGGCGGTGATGGTGATGCTCCTTTTTTTTGCGCATCCGTCTCGCATTGCATGTTGTTCAGACACGCCAGATTCCCGAGGCCACGGCCTCGCCCACCCGGCCTTGAGTAGGCCCAGACGCTGTCCGCAACGGTGGTCGCATCGCATCGCATGTTGAGGCTGTTGTTGTTGGTGGTGGTGGTGTTGTTGTTGCTGCTGCTGCTCTCGTTGTTGTTGTTGTTGTTGTTGCTGCTGTTCTTGATGTTGTTGTTGTTGCTGCTGCTGATGTTGTAGTTGTTGATGGTGCTGGTGGTGATGATGATTTTTGGTGGTGATGCTGCTGCTCCTGATGATGCTGATGATGCTGATGATGATGATGATGATGATGATGATGATGATGATGATGATGATGATGATGATTATGATGATGGTGATGATGACGCTGGTGGTGGTGATGATGATGACGATGAGGACGAGTAGGAATATGACGACGACGGGGAGGACTCGACTCTGTCTCGGGTCGAGCATGTGGTGCCTCGCTGCAGCAGCTTGCACAACGACATCGTATTGCCCTCGATCGCGTGACACTGACAGCGCACGCAACACTTGCCAACGGATCGTTTGTGCACCTGTCGGAGTAAGCTACCCCTCACTCGCAATCAAGATGCGCGGACGCACAAACCGTTCGCCCTGGCATTGCTGGCACCTCTAGTCCCGCACGCAGCAGGCTCTGGGGCCAGCGAGCACTCGCGCAAATCCTCTCCCCCTCAGTGCTGGGATGTGGAAGCGAGTCTACAAGCGAAAGTCACGCGCTAAGGTGCACGTCCTAAAATTGCCCCGGCGTCACTTTCAGGAAACCTGCTCGCCTTCAACCGCACGCCGCTCAGGAGTCGCTAGTGAGGCCGCCTTCGATCTCAGAGCCGCCATCGGAGTAAGCATCCCAAGAGAGCTGGCCCGTTCGTTCTGCGGAAAAAAGCAAAAGCACAGTCTGTTGAAAAAGCGCACACACACAAAACACACACTGTTGAACAAAAACACACAGTGAGTTTTTCAACACACTGTTGAAAGCACAGTGCTTTTCCCCTAACACAAATCACACAACATGTGTTTTTTTGGTTTGTTTGTTGTTCCATTGTGTGAGTTTCATGGACACGACAGTGCCAACCTCATCCACGCTGGAAACATTCATCGACGCTCAACCATAACTGCTGCCCTCGCCTGCTCCATCAGTGTGTCTTCCAACCGCTTGGGCGAGGCCACGAAGCCTTTTCGAAGCCATTTGTCCACCATGTCGTATCTAATGGCCTTCGGCCCATCCCGCCATCGTGCCTGGCTTGTGGGTCATGGGCCTCTGGGATGTTCGTTGGGATGTCGCGGGAGGCCTTTCGGGCGTCTTGGGGCCGTTTTGAGGCCTCTTGGGGACTGTTTTGGAGCATGTTGTGGTGTCTTCGGGGCCTCTCGGGGGTCTCTTTGGGTCTCTTAGGGGCCTCTTGGGGCCTCCTTGGGGCCTCCTTGGGGCCTCCTGGGGGCCTCTTGGGGCGGAAGACTCGGATTTTTGGTTCGTGTTCCCCCTCTTGTGCCCTTCTTGGGGTTGTATTTTGGCCGTGTCGGGCCGTCTTGTGCGTCTCTGGGGCCGTCTTGTATCCCTCTTGGGCCGTGTTGGGTCCCTCCTGGGGGCCTCTCGGGCTGTCTTGTGGCGGCCCTGGGGGCCTCTTGAGCCGTCTTCGAGCGTCGGGTGCTCGAAAAATCGAGGACCCCCAAATCATCGAAAAACCTATGTAGAATCAATGATTTTGGCCACTCGGGGCCCTCTTGGGAGAGGCCTCTTTGGCCGTCTTGGAACCATCTTGGGCGTCTTGGTGCGATCTTTGGGCGCCTTGGGGCCCTTTTGGACCGTCTTGAGGGCCTCTTGTGGCCCTCTTGGCCCGTCTTGGGGTCTTCTTGGGCCCGAGAAAGTCACGCGGGTAGATGCGGGGAAGCCGCGTCAAGCCCCGGGAGACTTGACAATTTTGGTCACCGGGCCCCTCAAAGACTCCTCAGGATTGAGGACCGATGATTCGAGGATTAGGGACAGGGAGCAAAGGACTCGAGGACACGCCCACTCCGTGCCCAGCGGCACGGTGGCGGATGCGAGGCCGACTACGCCGACTCGCTTCGGCGAGCTATTCTCCTCGGTCTGCGCGACAATCCCGATCTGCGCGGCGTCAGTCTTCGCGGAGGCTTCGTCATCTATGCTGTCTTGAACTGGAGTTGGCTCCTCCCAAGCTCGAGCCTGTGCGTGACCGTGAGCGTGTTCGGCAACGGCGTGAGCGGTTTCACGATGAGGTTGAGCGGGAGCTGGAATCTGAACAGCTTCAGCCTGTGCCAGAGTGGGTTCCGCTGCGACCTGAACGGGTGCATTCAGCTCTGGGGCGGGTATTCAGGGACTTTTGAGCGGGCTCAGCTGCAACCAGAACGGGATCGAAAGGGTGAACGGGTTCAGCTGAAACCTGGAAGGATTCACGTAGGCTTCGAATGGGTTCAGCTGGGTCTTGAGCGGGTTCAGCCTGACCGTGAACAAGTCCGTCAACTAGGGCGGGCTCAACTGGTGCTTGCACTGGTTCCGCTGACGAAGACGCCGACGCCGACGACGACGACGACGACGAGGACTGCGACGAGGACGGCGGCGGCGGCGACGACTACGACAACGACTGACGACTGAGTTCCCTCATGTCCTCCTCCTCCTGCACCTTATGCCACCGCCTCCTTCCGCTTCCGTCCTCCTCCCCCTCCTCCTCCTCCTCCTCCTCCTCCTCCTCCTCCTCCTCCTCCTCCTCCTCCTCCTCCTCCTCCTCCTCCTCCTCCTCCTCCTCCCCCCTTTCCTGTCCATAGCCATTTTGGCTCGAGCTGTAGCCACTCTGGCTCTGGCCGTTCCAGCTCGGCGAGCCTGCCGCTGCGCCCCCTCCCCCAGCGCCGCACGCCCAACGGGCGCGCCGGGCTTGCTGGCAGGAGGCCGTGCCGTCCCTTGGGCGCGGCGACGCCTCTGGTCGAACCAGCGCCGCACGCCCAACGGGCCCGCTGGGCTTGCTGGCAGGAGGCCGTGCCGCCCCTTGGGCGCGGCGACGCCTCTGGTCGAAGGCGGCACGGCGGCGGGATGGGCGCCGTGCCCGTGGCTGCCCGACGGCGGCGGCGAGACGCCCACGAAAGGCTGCCGCGTCGCCCTCGGCAGCAGCGCGGAGGAGGAGGACGAATGGACAGCAGAGGAGGAAAAGGTACCCCCATACCTCTACCCTCTCCTCGTTTGCCCCTTTTTGGGCCTACTGGGACTTCCTCGTTCGCACCGCTGGATTCGCCTCGAGATCCTGGTTAGAACGCACCCCGGGAGAGGTCCGGGGAGTGGCGGTATCGGTACCTCATGGTTTCCTCAGGACAGGGGAGGGGGACCGCGGGGACTCCAGCAGCACGGAGGTCGGCGGACGGGCCGGGCAGGCGCAGGCTCCTGTCCAAAGGCGGTGGAGGGCGCGCTGGACCGGCGCGCTGTCCCACACACTGGCTGGCGACATCCGCCGCGATGGTGAGCAGGCCACCTACGTGCTGGTGTTCACCTGGGCGGCTGAGGAGGAGGAGGAGGAGGAGGAGGAGGAGGAGGAGGAGGAGGGCCCGGTGTCGCGGACGTCGCGGACCGCGGCGAGGTCATCACCGACCCGCCAGATAGCGCCAGGAGGATCTCCAAGAGGCAGAAGGGTCAGGAGGTCGAGAGGCTCGGTGTCGAGCCCGTGCTCGCCGAGGAGTAGCACTGTATAGTGAGGCGGAAGATCGAGGACATCCTTCTCAGGAGTGGCTTCATTTGCGCCTGCTTCCCCAGCGTGGACGGCGACGATACTTTCTTGAAGATCTAACTTCTAGTACAACGTGCCCCTGAGGAAGACCTGCTACGTGTCCACCAAGCGGATCACCAACGTCGAGGGTTCCTTGTGTTCCGCCTACACTCCGTTCACCGTGGACTGGTACCAGCGCGGCAAGCTGCAGCCCTTCCGTCGAGTGGACGTGATCCGCATCGCCCGCCGGCATCTATCCAGCCTCATCGACCTGGAGGAGGTGTACGAGCAGGGATTCATCTCGACGCACTTCGCGGTGGCAACGTCTGAGGAGCAGCGTCGCCTCAAGGCGCATTGGACGCACCCGCTGAGGTTCCACAGGGCGCTCCTGCCCCAGCAGGTCGGAGACTACTTCGGGGAGAAGGTTGACTTCTGATCTCACTTCTTCGCCTTCTTCGTCAGGGCTATCGTCGTTCTGGCCGCAATCACGTTATGCTTTTTCTGCTTGTTCTCCATCGTGAATCTCGACCGATGGCAGGAGAATCGCTGCAGGATGGTACTTGATGCGGTGGTTGTCTTCTGGGCCATCCTCTTCGAGGTCCGCTTTAACCGCAGCAGTGCAAGGTTGGCGCAGGTGTGGGGCATGAGCGCCTGGAATCTCGTACGTCTCATGTCAAGCAGAGACAGCAACCTGAAGACGCTCGACGAGAAGCTGGTCGGCAGGTCCAGGGAGCGCTTCGGCAACGTCGTGGCGGCCTTATGTACGTTGTCGTACTGCACCATGCTCATCATCGGCGTCGCTGCAATGAAGATGAATACGAGTGTGTTGGGCCAGGGTGCTATGGACTGGGCAATCTCCCTCGTGGTAAGGGTAGGAAGGTGGCTCTGGGGTAAATTTGCACCAATTCTCACTCGGTGGGAGAACCACAAGACGCAGCAGCGCTTCGACGATGAGCTCTTTCCCAGGCTTGCGACCTTCAACGCTTTCTGCGTTCTCTGGCCTAGGTTGAGCATATTCTTGTTCGACAAGATCACGATGGCCTACTGCGGAGACAGCTTCTGGCAGCGGTGGAGGCAGCGTACGGGCCCCTGTCTGAGCAGGGTCGCGCCGACGGGTACGTCCAGTGGCCTCAGGGACCGCACGCTGGAGAGGCGGGCATGCTCAACGAGTCCACCTTCGAGGAGAAGCTGAGCATGTATCCGCTGACAAATGCCGAGCTGGCCTTTCGGCACCTGTCCTTGGATAGGCTCGTGCATGAGGACAAGTGCAGTGGGGATGAAGCTTGCCTGGCCTTTCGTCTTCCGCAGACGGAGTGCTTTTCATGCTGATCTTCATAGTCTGATCGTCGCTCAGTTCGTCATGCACGTTGCTGTGACAATAGCGCTTCTACCATATCCCATGGCTCGAGTTGAGTATGATGGCAAACAAGAGGTCTCAGCTGCAGCACATTCTGGACAGGAGGGCGTCGCACCACCTACAGAGGTGGGGTATAGCACCTTACAGGTGCAAGCGAAGTGCCATGTATGCCAAATATAAGTACGAGTCGTTTGGAGGGTCTTTTGTACAGGACACCTTTGAACTGATTATTGGTTTCGCGTATATATCGGTCTTTGGAATGGTGAGCCCCGCAATGGTCGTGACTGCGGCCGCGGTGACGATGGGTTGAATACAAACTGCTCCAGATGCGCATGCTTTTCGTCACGGGCCGTCCGTACCCCGAGGTAGCTGCCGACATTGGCAGCAGCAAGAAGATGGTTATGCTGATCGGACCGTCGGGGTCTTCATTAACGGCTACCTCCTGGTGTTCGTCATGGGCCCGGCGCGGTCGCGGACTTTTAACCAGAAGTTCGCAATCTTCTTGTGCTTCGGCGCCGGCAGCCTGTTCCTGCGCACGATGCTGCACAACGTGACGGCCAGCGACCCCCCGGACGTGCGCAGGATGGACGACCACAACACCGACGTGCTGGCGAAGCTGTGGCCCGTCGAGATTGGCATGGAGCTCGCGCAGGGAAATCGGGGGCGGCAAAGAGGGGGGCGATGACTAGAAGGGGGTGGATATCATGGCGTGGGCCATGAGATTTCCCCAGATTTCATGGCGCCTCTTCTTATTGCATTGCGTCCCTGACCCCACCCCTAGGCCGCGCACATGCCGCCGGCCATGATTTGTACCCTCCCCTCTCGGACACCCCCTCTTGGACGCCCCCGAGGCAAGCGCGTCGGCCGCGTCGACATTGGACTCTGAGCGGCATCTGGGCGGGTGGGCCGCCTTCGGCTCGGGGCCTTCACGTCAGGCGGGGACCCGGGGGGCGGGCGGGGTGTCTCGAGCTGCCTCGAAGCGGCGTGCCCTCGCGACAGCCGTGGCCAACACGCCAGGCTTCGATGCCAACGAGATGGTGTCGCATCCCCCGAAGCGCCCACTCGGTGGGCAGCGGCCTAGCGTGGACGTCGGCCAGGGCGTCCCCGGCATGCCCGCCGGCCTCCGCTGGCGCGAACCAGCCCCTGGCGGGGCTGCCGAGGCCAGCCGGGGGCCGGCCCGCCAGCGGGACTTCGGGCCGCCGCCGGCGACGAGGGCGACCACGGCGTGGGCGCCGTCGCCGTCCGCCTCGCTGTTTGTGTTGGCCTCCCAGGAGGGTGGAAGGTGGTGATCGAGGTGGGTTCGGAATGACAGGGTATGAAGGCCGGCAGCGGCCCCTGTTCATAACCGGTGTTCTTGCTCGGGCTCGCTTTGCCCGGTGTCTGCGTGAGGTATGGTGTTCGGCGTCTTGCGTCCGCTGCACCTCGCCGCGATGCCGCGGGCGTCGTCGATCCCGCTCCATTTTTTCGGGAGTTCGCCGCCGGTGGTGTCAGGAACAGGTTGTTCCATAGCGATGCGGGCTCAACCAGCCGACTGACGTTGCTCTTGCCACTGGTGGTCAGGGGATCGAGTTAGGGTGCTTCAAGCGATGCCGTCTCAATGAGCCGGCAGCCTCGCGAAGTTATTTTTGCAATTGGTGGTCAGGGGACCGAGTTCGGGTGCTCCAAGCGATGCTGCCTCAATGAGCCAGCAGCCTCGCGAAGTTCTCTGCTGTCTGTTATTTCGGTTTCGTGAGTCGTTCGTATGACAAGGACGAGTCTGTCTTGTGATACGAGAGGGTGGTTGGTATGATACGAGAGACTTGTTTATGCGACAGCTGTTCTTCGGACAGAGCGAGTTGTCCTTGTGATGCGGTTGGGTCCCCCCTGTGACAGGGAATTGGGCCCCCCCTGTGGCAGGGAATTGGACCCCTCCTGTGACAGGGAATTGGGCCCCCCCCTGTTACTGGGAATTGGCCACCCCCTGTGACAGGGAGGTGGGCCCCCCTGCTACTGGGAATATTAGGGCCCCCGTGTGAGAAGGCTTCGGGCCCCCCTGTGCGAGGTTTTGAGCACCCCTTGTGCGAGGGTTTGGGGCGCGCGCCCCTGTGGCATGGCTCTGGGCACCCCTGTGACCGGGTGTTGGGCCCCCTGTGGCACGGTTATGGAGGAGGAGGAGGAGGAGGAGGAGGAGGAGGAGGAGGAGGAGAAGGAGGAGGAGGAGGAGGAGGAGGAGGAGGAGGAGGAGGAGGAGGAGCCCCCTGTGGCACGTGGTACGGTTTTGAGCAGCCTCTGCTTCCGGATGCTCCCACGTAGCCCAGGGAATCTCATGCGCGTGGTTTCTGTTCCCGGACGCTGCCAGCCCAGACGCCCCGCGAAGAGGGAGCGACCGGACAATTTAAACAAATCGTGCGCGTAGTCTTTGATCCCAGAGTTCCCAGCCCAGGCGCCCCACCCGAAGGGAGCAGCTGGGAGGTTTCAGCAGATCACGTTCTTCTTCTTTCGCCCTGCCTCGTGGCCCCGGTCCTGCCGGGCTGCCAGCGCAGGCGTGAGGATTTTTATTTTTCCAGCGCCGCCAGGGTCTTGCCTGGCTTGGGTGCCGTTCCGTGCCCAGAGGTCCATCAGAGCAGAAAAATCGTGCGCGCGCTCTCTGCTCCCAGACGCTTCCTGTCCAGGCGCTCCGCCAGGAGGGAGCAATCGGGAAATTCAGATGATCAAGACGCTTCTGGCCAAGGCGTCCCCGCAGGGAGGTTTGTCTGTTCTTACGATTCCGTGATTCGTTCGTATCGCAAAGACGCGTCGTTCTTGTGATACGAGAGGGTGATTCGTATGATGCGAGAGATTTGTTTTTGCGACAATTGTTCTTAGGACAGGGCGAGTTGTTCTTGTGATGCGTTTGGGCCCCCCTGTGTCAGGGAATTGGGCCCTCCTTGTGACAGGGAATTGCGCACCCCCTGTGGCAGGGAATTTGGCACATTTTGGCACCCCCTGTGACAGGGAATTGGGTCCCCCATGTGACAGAGAATTGGGCCCCCCCTGTGACTGGGTGTTGGGGACTCCCTGTGACAGGGAATTGGGCACCCCCTGTGACAGGGAATTGGGCACCCCCTGTGACCGGGTTTTGGGCACTCCCTGTGACAGGGAATCGCCCCGGACGCTCCTGGGGTGATAGTTGTTTTGATTTCGTTCTGCATGAGTTATTGTTCGTTTGATGTTTTGGATGGGCCTCAAACGACTCTTCATCTATGTTTCCCGTCGTTTTCCTTCTGTTTGGCATGTTCCGTTCTTCAAAATTCTCCAGGTAAATTGATATTGCGGCTTGAATTTTAATGTAATGATACCGGAGAAAAGCCCCAATCATAATCTTTTCAGGGCTATAGGGCTATGGGCTATAGGGCTATAGGGCTATAAGGCTCTGATGCTATAGGGCTATAGGGCTATAGGGCTATCAGGCTATACGGCTGTAAGGCTATGGAGCTGTAGGGCTATAGGGCTATAGGGCTATAGGGCTATAGGGCTATAAGGCTCTAGGGCTATAGGGCTATAGGGCTACCGGGCACCCGGGCACCCGGGCACCCGGGCGTGCCGCCGAAATCGGCGCTACAGCTAAGCTAACCATATGATACCGGAGAGAAGTCTCATTCAGAGTCTTTTCAGGGCTATAGCTCCATGGGGCTATAGGGCTACAGGGCTACTGGGCTGTAAGGCTCTGGGGCTACAGGGATATAGGGCTATAAGGCTATAGGGCTATAGGGCTAGAGGGCTATAGGGCTATAGGACTATAGGGCTATAGGGCTATAGGACTATAAGGCTATAGGGCTACAGGGCTACAGGGCTTGAGGGCTATAGGGGCTATAGGGCTATAGGGCTATAGGGCTATAGGGCTGTAGGGCTGTAGGGCTATTGGGCTACAAGGCTATACGGCTGTACGGCTATAGGGCTATAGCGCTATAGGGCTATAGGGCTGTAGGGCTATATGGGCTATAGGGCTATAGAGCTATAGGGCTTTCGGGCTATAGGGCTACCGGGCACCTGGGCACCTGGGCACCCAGACACCCGGGCACCCGGGCACCCAGGCGTGACCTAACCATATGAGTCCGCTAGGACCTCTACAGAGGCAAGCTCTGATTGGGGAATATTGGGAGTTATTTCTTATTAATTCTGGGTTGATGGAATAGTTTCATTGTTTTCAGTTTGACTGTCTGCTTTTATGTGCCTATTGTGCAAAGTGGTCTGCCACGGCATTGCGGTACAAATAATATTGCGCATGAGAGGGCGAGCCCAATCGCAAGAGCAGCCCATTGCCGAATCGCAAGAACAGCCGACGGCCCAATCGCAAGAACAGCCCACGGCCCAATCGCAATTACAGCGTAGACATTTCAATCGAACAGCGCGTCTTCCTTAGTGCACGGATGGCGCACGCGAGTCGGTAGAACAGCGCAGCGTTCTGACAAGATCAGGGTCACAGCGCGTGACGCCGAAATGAAATCTGAGGATAACTAGATGTTGGTACTCCACGGTGCTCCATTTCCTTTTTCCCTTTCCTGGCATGCCCCTGGCGTGCGGGGGTCAGCGGTCGAGTTGCCCCTTCACCTTCTGCTGCCGATGGGACATGACAGATCTGGCCCTCCCCCGAAATCAGAATCTGCAGATGCTGCTGTCTGCGCCGTCTTTCCTCCGCAGCCCGCAGGTTCTGCCATCCGTGCAGTTCGTTGCCTAACAGAGAGAATGTGACGGCCTTGCTCCCACTTGCGGGTAGTGAGTGCAGGTCGCCGCCAATTTTGCTGCCCCCTGGTATGGTTTAGCTTCAGGCCGGTTGTATTGCCACTCCTCCTCCCTTTCCTGATGGCCTCCTACTCTGGGAGTCTCTCCGGCGGCGAGCGAGGGGGGGAAGAGAGAAGGAGAAGGCCTTCCCAGAAGGCTCGGAAGTCCACCGGCCTTCTGAGGAGTCTCCTCAGCTGTGCCCGAAGACACAGAAGACCCCTCAGGAGGCGCGAGGGCTCCTGAGAGGTTCCGCCGCCCTCTGAGGAGGCCCTCGCCTTCTCGCTTTCCCCCCCCCCTCGACTTTGGCGGGGCCTCACGTACCCCCTCCCCTCGACTTTGGCGGGGTCCTCTTCCTCCTCATCCTCCTCCTCCTCTTCCTCCTCCTCCTCCTCCCCTCCTCCTCCTCCTCCTCCTCCTCCTCCTCCTCCTCCTTCTTCCGC